CCTGATGCGGGACTCGATCCCAGGACTCCAGGATCATGACCTGAGCCGAAGGCAGTTGCTTAACCAACTGAGCCACCCAGGCGCCCTCTTATGTAGTTTTGTGAGGAAAAAAACTGTTCCCCAAATCTTCCCTGCTGATAACTGGCCAGCCTACAACCATGAAGAAGCTCCACTCTCTGTTAACAAACAACCTATCCAGGCAGAGGTTGTATGGTTTACAGATGCTGAAAAGAGAGCGTATTTCTTGAGTCAGTTTTCAGGTGCTGATGCAGCAATGAGGGTCTTTTATGAGCTTTGACAAAATGAAAGCCTTGACATTATGTCCTCTCTTCCCATCATCACCTGGATGATCTGCAGTGTCCTGCAGTCACAGAGAGATGGTGACAGGACTCTTATGAGGTCACTTCAGACCATGACTGATGTGTATCTGTTCTACTTTTCCAAGTGCCTCAAAACCCTTACAGGCATGTGGGTGTGGAAGGGACAAAGTTGCCTGTGGGGCCTTTGCTCTTTGGCTGCAGGGGGACTGCAGAACCAGCAGGTCCTAGTTCAAGTCAGTGACCTCAGGAGACATGGGATAGGAGTATATGATATCAATTGCACTTTTCTAAATCACTTTTTGAAAAAAACTGAAGGAGGTGTCAATGTCTACACTTTCTTTCACTTCAGTTTCCAAGAGTTCTTGACTGCTGTGTTCTGTGCCCTGAAGAATGACAGCAACTGAATGTTTTTTGATCAAGTGGGGAAAACGTGGCAAGAAATATTCCAACAATATGGAAAAGGGTTTTCATCACTAACGATACAGTTCTTATTTGGCCTCTTACATAAAGGAAAGGGAAAGGCCGTGGAAACTACTTTTGGAAGAAAAGTCTCTCCAGGACTTCGAGAGGAGTTACTGAAGTGGACTGAGAAAGAAATAAAGGATAAATCTTCTAGGTTACAGATGGAGCCAATAGACTTGTTTCACTATTTGTATGAGATTCAGGAAGAAGAATACGCAAAAAGGATAATTGATGATTTACAGTCAATTACATTGCTTCAACCTGTCTATACAAAAATGGACATTCTGGCTATGTCATTCTGTGTAAAAAGCAGTCACAGTCACCTGTCAGTGTCTCTGAAGTCTCAGCACCTACTTGGATTTGAGGAGCCAGAGCGAGCCTCCGCATTCATGCCACCAGCCTTGACACTTAATCAGTGAGTATATTAATGTCTTTTCTCCAGTATTTTGGCCTTCAGAAAAAAACAGGCATTCGTGTTTATTTCAAGTATTCAGGCACATGATCATTTTGAGCATTATTGATATATAAAATGAATCATCTCCACTTTCCCTATTTTATGTCCGTCACCCCAATAAGGATTTATTGACTATCTATCACATATTGAACACTAGCGTCGGTAGACAATGAGGGAAAGTTAACATTTCTGAGCACTTACTATGTGCCAGGCACTGTGCTAGGTACTACAGATATGTGGATTAGTCTCCTCCGTCACTCTGCGAATGTGCTCTATCATTATAAAGTGTTATGAGCATGTAAGAAATCAAGATTATCATTGAGGACTCTGATATTTTGGTGTCTATGACTATTCTATAAAAGGTGGTAAACTTAACATTGAATTGGTCATCACTCTCCCCTACATATACTTCATCACTGAGACCTCAAAGAGCTCCAGGTTGGTAAGGGTCAGAACTGCACTCCTGTGTATATTGCCGTAAAGCCTGGGCTTTTTCCATCAGGCTTGCACCTTCACAAAGGGTCCAGAGCTTGCACCTTTACAAAGGGTTCAAAGAGGCTTAGGTAAACCACTTAAATAATACAGATTCTGCATACTAAAAACAGAGTTCTACTGACTTATTGACTAAAGCAGCCAAAAGATTTATACCTGTGTTATCTAGAAAATGCCACTGGTCATAAGTCTGTTCTCAATACTTGGGTTAAAATGAACATTGCTGGGGTGCCTGGGTGACTGAGTTGGTTAAGCGTCTGACTCTTGATTTCCGCTCAGGTCATGATCTCAGGGTTGTGAGATCGAGCCCCACGTTGGGCTCTCTGCTGAGTGTGGAGCTGGCTTAAGATTCTCTTTCCCTCTGCCCACCCCCCCCACAACTTGTGCATGCGTTCTCGCTCTCTCACCAAAAAAAAAAAAAAAAAAGGACATTGCAATCCTTTAGTTGTGGGACCAGCTGAGGGGTAGGGGACCTTGAGAAGAAGAGATTGGGCAGAGAGCTGTACTTGGGGAGTGAGTTAACCCAAGTCTTTTCTCTGATAGTCGTATTTCCTCATTGGGCAGTAGCATAGAGATAGAAATGAGCATGGGATATGTGTGTTTGAGGGAGGTGGGGGGGGAAGGGAAGTGCAGCAAGAGTTGTGTTTGGGATTAGCGTGGAAGGGGTAAGAGAAGTTACATGGACTTAGAATTACCAAGGACCTTGGCTAGTGTCTTGACAAATTCATGACAGTTTCAATCCAGATGTATACTGTAAAATAAAATAATGGACAAATACATTGAGAATTTTTAAACACTGATGGAAACAAAAAGGGGCTTCTGATTCATTCTAGATTTCCAGAAAATCAGCCTTAAATGGAGTCCCTATCTTAACCCTATTGCCTTTATCAGAGGGTTAAACTTTCTTCAAAATTTAACCCCAAATATTCCTATCATAAGCATGTTGACTGAGATTTTACTATTGAACTTTTCTAGTTTTTTTTGTTGTTGTTCAAATATAATTAACATGCAGTTTCAGGTGTACTGTATAGTGATTCAATAATTATATACATTTCTCAGTGCTTGTTAAGGTAAGTGTACTCTTAATCCCCTTTATCTATTTCACCCATCCTCCACCTACCTCCCCTCTGGCAACCACCAATTTGTTCCATTTAAGAGTCTGTTTTTGTCTTTTTTTCTTTGTTCATTTATTGGTTAAATTCCACATATGAGTGAAATTGTGTGGTATTTGTCTTTATCTGTTTGCTTTCACTTAGCATAATACCCTCTAGGCCCATCCATGTTGTTGCAAAATGGCAAGATTTCATTCTTTTTTATGGCTGAGTAATATTCCATTGTATATATTTGCCACATCTTCTTTATCCATCCATCGATGGACACTTGGGTTGCTTCCATGATGTGGCTATTGTAAATAATACTGCTCTAAACATATGGGTGCGTATATATTTTTGAATTACTGTTTTTGTTTTCTTTGGGTGTTCCTCAAAAAAATTAAAAAGAAGGGGCACCTGGGTGGCTCAGTCTTTAAGCATCTGCCTTCAGCTCAGGTCATGATCCCAGGGTCCTGGGATTGAGCCCCACATCGGGCTCCCCACTCGGCAGGGAGCCTGCTTCTCCCTCTCCCTGCTGCTCCCCACTACGTGTGCTATCTCTCTGTCAAATAAATAAATAAAACCTTTAAAAAAGTTATAAAAAAATAATTAAAAATAAAAGTACCACATGAACTTTTCTAGTTTTCAATTATAGTTAATTCTTCTATTAGTACTGACAACCAAGAAATAGTTATATTATAAAGATAGCTTGGGCAAGTTACTTGACTTCTCTGAGCATCTGCAAAATGGTGATTAAAATATCCATCATTGTTTTGAGGACCAGATAAGATGATTTGTCTATGTAAAGTGCTTACCTTGGTGCCTGGCACACAGTAACATGGCTTGGGCTTTGAAGTCAGACAGACCAGAGTGCTGACCTCTGTTCTGTTCCTACCATGTGACCTTAGGCAAATATCTTTTTTGTGCCTTAATTTCCTTATCTGCAAAATGGGGTAATACCTCTTAAGGATTTTAGAAGAGATGAATGAATACTAGTATGGTGACAGAAGCCAAAATTAACCTTTTACTTAAAATTTTGTTTTTAACTATTTTGTTGTAAATTATTTTTGCTTTTTCATCTCTTTTAGGTCCTTCCAGCTGTGCAATTTGCCAGTGTCTTGGCTACACGTGCTCTCCCGAGCACGGCGTAATCCATATTGTAAAATCAAAGACCTGAAGTTAAGTTGAACTTTGCTTTGAACACTTAGGTATTTGCAAGGTAAAGATGGGGTTGCTAGAAACTGCACTGATCAGACCTGAAAACAAAATATAACTAGTGCTCAGCTTCTCCACAGTGGAACAGCAAATGATAAGATATGCTACGAACCTAGAAGGGGTAGAGAGTCAGGCACAGATCCCTGCTGGCCCCTCCAGCCTCTTCCCCTTTTGTATGTGCTATTTTTGCTGCAGGAGTAGGTGGCAGATTAAAGCATCTAAGAGATTTGTGTCTGGTTCCCCTCCTGGACCTACCCTCCCCCCTTCTCCTCCCAGATTCCCACCGTCGTCCTCCTTGGTTTTCTTTGTTGGGTCCTATCCCATTCCGTGCAGCTCAGTGATCTTTTTCTCTCCCTCCATGTCTCACCCGCAACCCCTGTAGTTACTCCCCAAAGTGCCATTGCTCAGAAGCTCCCCACCCCCGGCCTGACCTTCATTTCTTGCTCACTCTCAGGTGTCTTGTCAGCTTGTCAGTCAGCATCAGGAGCACAAAGGCACAAGCCCCCTTGTTTCCAAACCCCTCACCGCATAGATCAGTGTCTGTTCTCCTTCCCTTCTGTCCCAGAGGAAGAGGCGGCCTTTCCAATCCTACCCAAGCCAGTAAATTCACTTTTTTATTTTTGTAAGCATTTAATTATTTCATTTTACACAACACATAAGTACATAATGATCTAAAAGCCCTCCACCCTACTGTCCCAGACCCCACCCCACTTTATATCCCCAACACCCCACCTCCTGCTTACCATCCCCTGACCCTGATGATCTCACCCTCCCTAGGTAATACCTTGTTTGCTAAATGTCTTTCCAGACCTTTTCTATGCTTTTTCAAATATCAATCTATAACATAAGGCACATATAAATCTATAATATACATATCATACATATGCAGAGTTACAGAACTTTGGGGGGTTTTGTTTCACACACACAGAACTGGCTGTTGTATTTTTTCATTGAATAGTACAGTGTAGAGTGTATTTTCATGCAGCACAATCGCAGGAAGTGGAAAAGTGGTCATGCCACCATTTCTCCACCTCTTAGGGTTGCAGGATCAACTCCTGTGCTGCTTCTCTGTGCCTTATCTCCTCCCTGGGGCCTCATTCTGACATCCTCTAAAAGACATTTGACTTCAGTAAAGCACACAGTTCTGCTCCCTGACAACCAGGACCAGGCCTTGGCTGCGGCCTCAGCCCCAACTCCAAATAACCCACTGTTTCCTTACCCAACACCACCCTGACTATGGAATCTGCCTCTCTGTTCAGACTCTCTAGCATGAGAAACTGTTTGGCTCAGTTATGGATCAGATGTCCACTCCTGCTCCAATCATATACAGCCTAGGTGGGGAGAGGGGTGGGTTACCACAGACATGGCTGCTCAGGTCCACCAGATACTTGGGTTGAGGAGGGAGACACATACAAACAGAAGCTACAGCACTTTTGGGGTGTGGAATGCTAATGCTCTGGAACACAAAGGGCATCAATCAAAACATGTTTCTCCCTGCCAATCTATACCCTCTCCACTTCCCATCCCACCTCCCTCCCACTCCCTTAGCCCCATTCTCCCACTCATCCCCTCCCCCCACTCCACCCAGTTTCCTCCCTCACCTTGAAAATTGATTTCCCATTGGTATATGTTTTTGTTCAGGGGTTTCACATTTCTAAAACTACTGAGGGCTTTGCAGCCAGATTCCCCTCCCACAGCGGAAGCAAATTTCCCTCCGTGAAAAATTCACAGCTTTACACCAAGGGCAGTCCCAATCCCCAGGCCTGCGAAACATGGGAGGTCTTCTCTGCTGATGGGGTTCATAGTCTCTCCTGTCTCTTTGGGATTCTTGAGGGTCTGTTCCCTGGGACCCCCCATCAGACCGTGAGCTAACATCAGAGGGCTTCCAGTGGGGAGATGTCTGAGATGGAGCTCCTGCTGTGAATGTTGCTGCTGGTGGGAATGGTGCGGGTGCAGGTGGGAAGGGGGATGAGGGGCATGAGTAGGAGTATGTGAATGAGGCAGGGAGCTGGACAGGGAGGGGTGATGGTGTGACTGTGGACCCGGGCTTGAGGGTCCCAGAGAAATAAAACGTGGCTGTTTCCACTGACCTGAGATCTCCCTCCCTCTGCCCACCAGTGGTGTAATTTTTCCGCTCCATGGCTCCAACCAGGTGCATGAGGCCTCCACCCAGCTCCTTTGTGGCTTCTGCCCCCAGTGTATCCTTCTGTCTTCTTCTTCCTCTTCCTGTGGCACCAACAGCAGTAGCAGAAGTAGCAGCAGCTTGGGATTCCTCCTCCTCCTCATGGGCCCCTTCTGTCCCAGCCCCACTGGCAGTGGCCAGGCCTGGCCCCTCTGAGGCCTGGCCCTGCTCCCTGGTACACCCCAGCTGTTGGAGATAGGAGAGCAGGGTTGAGACCCATTCTGGGGACGGGGCAGGGAAATGGGGTGGGGATCAAGTAGAGATAATCTTACAACCTGGAAGAGCTTCCACCTCAGGAGGTCCCGTTCCTTCTGCATCTCCGCCAGGTTTGCTTGTGTCTGCCACAGCTGGAAGGCTGACTCCTTGCGTTCCATCTCCTGCTGCGCTGTGAGCATCTTTAGGTCAGTGGCCAAGGTCTGTGCAGCGGACTTATGCAGTCTGGCAAAATCGTGCAGCCACTGTACCCTGTTCTTGTGTAACTGGCTCTGCCTGTGGGCAATGCGCACGCCCAGGGCCAGGCTGCTCCAGGCACAGGCGTCTTTGGCCTCGCTGGGCACCGTGCTGTCCTCCAGGATGGCCCTGAGCTTGTTCTCTACCTCCTCCCAGGACAGGGATATATTCTCGAGGTAGAACTCAGGGCCTTTCGTGTGCCCGGCCATCTTCTCATTGATGAAGGCCACCACATTGTTGTGCTGGAACCCAGCACTGGGGTCGTCAGGTTTCAAGGACATGACGACTGAGCACCTTAGGGGTTTGGCTGTCCCTGTGGGATGAATCAACCAGTTGCTCTTTCCTCTCCCCTTTAGCCCCTCCCCACTCAGTCTCTTCCCATCCAATCGGCCTGCCCCCCCCCGCCCCGCCTCTCCTCACCCCCCTCAGACCCTCATAAAGACCCCCTCACCGACTGGCTTGCCCCGCCATAGTACACGTCTCACGAGGCCTCTCTTCTCTAGGTGGCGTTAAAGAAGAAGCGGACCTACCTTTCTTGCCTACCGTACCAAAAGAGAAAGCGCACCTCTCTCCCTCTAGGGGCTCTGAGGAAAGGAAGTCTCAACACCAACCCTCGAGGCTTTTACCCTGGGACTGTTCCAACTTCCAGAGACAGTGGGGGTGGGAGGGAATGTGTGAGGAAGGTTCCTCCCAAACTCTGGGACATAAGAGAACCCGCTACATTGTTGAAAGTCTCTGAAGGCAGGAAACAACAGGAGTGGTCAGAAAAGGCAGAACTGAGAATATAATCAAGAACAAAAAGTTTCATCCCCCACTCTCCACCCCCACCATAATGGTTTGTTCCACATCAGGGGCCCCGCCCCTCCCCGAGGTGGAATGTTCTAGAACAGAAAAAGCTCCCCCCTTCCGCC